ACCATTCAAATCATTACGAAGCTGTGTGTAGTCTGTGGTCAGTCAAACAAACGGGCTTTCACATGGGTAAATTGTCATTTTTGTGGAAATTGGTGTCACGCCCCTTGTGCAGATATCTAAGAACTAGCTACAAGCAGTGTTAAAACAGGGAAGTGTTTTTGGGTATGCCCAAATGAGGAAAATCTGTGGACTAAAATCACAAGGGTATTAAAAGAGGACAACATCAAAGCTGCTTTCATAGAAAACCTGGAAGCTTTCTACAACAGATGGGAACATAAAAAGTCTGGGCTGAATGGTACTGCCCTTGATACTGGCCATGTAGTCAGAAACTGTAAGGCTGGAGGTGATGTCCTGGTAGTCAGTAAACGTGGGGCTGATAGTGCTGTCCTGGGAGACAGTAATGGTGAAGCTGGAGGTGCTGTCCTAGGAGACAGTAATGGTGAAGCTGGAGATGCTGTCCTGGGAGACAGTAATGGTGAAGCTGGAGATTTTGTCCAGGTAGTCGGGAATTATACGCAGGAAGGAATACATATAAATGACCTCATAGGGGACAGGAGCCATAGTAGGGAAACAAGTGTAGTCAAAGATAAGATAAAACCAATATTGCAAACTAGAAATACCGCAGAAAATAGCAAACAAGAGGACTCCACTAGCAATAGTGAGGATATATTACCAAAAACAACTGGTGGGAGCTCCATTGTTGGTGCTAGGGAGGATAGAAGTAAGACAGGGAAACATGCACCAACAGGGAATACAGTCACAGAAACCCAAGGCAAACAGAAACCAAGCCTGTGCACATACTATGCACTTGGTATCTGCTGGCATGGGAAATCTGGAAAAACAGATGGGACGTGCAACTATGACCACCCTAGAAAATGCCATGCCCATATGACAACAGGAAAATGCAAACTCCCTTCCTGTAAGCTTTTTCACCCTGAACTGTGTACCTCTTCAGTACAGGAAAGACTGTGCTATAACTTAAATTGCCAGGCATACCATCTAAAGGGGACAAAAAGATACAAAACGTCCAGGCCATGGGAAAACCTGGGTAGCCACAGCCACAGCCACAGCCACTCAAGAGGGAGAGGTTTTTTAGTGCCAGGAAGGGAAAAAAACTGGCAGGAAATGGCAGAAATCATACACCAAATCCAGTCATTCCTGGAGTGGAACCACAGTCGATGGCCTGCACTCCAAACCAACAGATACAGATACTAATGCCGGAAAAAAATCCCCCCCCCCCCCAGTACCAACAATACCACCAGTCCGATAACATTCTTCTTTGCAAATATACAGGGTCTAAAGCCAGCAACAAACAACAAAATACCTTTCATCCGTGGACTGCTTGCAGAGGCAAAGGCAATGTTCGCGGCTTTCACTGAGACCCACATAAAGGATCACTTGGACAACGAAATATGGATCCCAGGTTACAACCTATACAGATGTGACAGAGTGAACAGGCAAAAAGGGGGGGGGGGGTTGGCCTGTACATTGCAGTCACTTGTTTGCACAGAACTGCTTAATGCCTCAAATGATGTAGTGGAAGTTTTAGCAGTAAAGGTCGAGAACCAAAACCTAGTCATTGTGGTAGTCTACAAGCCTCCGGATGCAACATCCCAGCAATTCCAGAACAGCTGTTAAAAATTGACCACTGTCTGGAAAATCTTCCAGCTCCTGCACCCAACATCTTGCTCCTGGGGGATTTCAACTTAAGGCAGCTAAAATGGAGGAATATAGCAAATAATATTGTTGCAATAATAACACCAGGAGGCAGCTCTGATGAAAACTCACACTCACACGAGCTTTTAAATCTCTGCACAAAATTCAATTTAAACCAGCAAATAATAGAGCCTACTAGACTGGAGAATACACTAGACCTCATCTTCACTAACAATGATGATCTGATAAGAAATGTCACCATATCAAAAACAATATACTCAGATCACAACATAATTGAGGTTCAGACATGTATGCGTGGAGCCCCAGACCGACATAATGAGACTAGTCACGAGGGAGCATTCACCAAATTCAACTTCAATAACAAAAACAAAGTGGGACCAAGTAAACCAAGTCCTAACCGATATAAGCTATGAAGATATACTAAGCAACACAGACCCCAACTTATGCCTAGAACAGATTAACTCGGTGGCACTCGATGTATGCACAAGGCTTATTCCTCTAAGAAAGAGGAGGAGTAGATGTAAAATAGAAAGAGACAGGCGCTCCCTTTACAGGCAACAGAAAAGAATAACAGAGCGGCTAAAAGAGGTCAATATATCTGAAATGTGTAGGGAGACACTGGTCAGAGAAATAGCAAGCATCGAACTTAAGCTAAAAGAATCCTTTAGGAGTCAGGAATCGCGGGAAGAACTAAAAGCCATAAATGAAATCGAAAGAAATCCAAAGTATTTTCTTCTCCTATGCCAATCAAATCGAGAACAACGTCCAGTATTGGGCCCCTACTTAAACAAGGTGGGTCCTACACAGATGACAGCAAGGAAATGAGTGAGCTACTCAAGTCCCAATATGACTCAGTTTTTAGCAAGCCGCTAACCAGACTGAGAGTCGAAGATCAAAATGAATTTTTTATGAGAGCCACAAAATTTGATTAACACAAGCCTATCCGATGTTGTTCTGACGCCAAATGACTTCGAACAGGCGATAAATGACATGCCCATGCACTCTGCCCCAGGGCCAGACTCATGGAACTCTGTGTTCATCAAGAACTGCAAGAAGCCCCTATCACGAGCCTTTTCCATCCTATGGAGAGGGAGCATGGACACGGGGGTCGTCCCACACTTACTAAAAACAACAGACATAGCCCCACTCCACAAAGGGGGCAGTAAAGCAACAGCAAAGAACTACAGACCAATAGCACTAACATCCCATATCATAAAAATCTTTGAAAGGGTCCTAAGAAGAAAGATCACCACCTATCTAGAAACCCATCAGTTACACAACCCAGGGCTACATGGGTTTAGAACAGGTCGCTCCTGTCTGTCTCAACTATTGGATCACTATGACAAGGTCCTAAATGCACTAGAAGACAAAAAGAATGCAGATGTAATATATACAGACTTTGCAAAAGCCTTTGACAAGTGTGACCATGGCGTAATAGCGCACAAAATGCGTGCTAAAGGAATAACAGGAAAAGTCGGTCGATGGATCTATAATTTCCTCACTAACAGAACACAGAGTAGTCGTCAACAGAGTAAAGTCCGAGGCAGCTACGGTGAAAAGCTCTGTTCCACAAGGCACAGTACTCGCTCCCATCTTGTTCCTCATCCTCATATCCGACATAGACAAGGATGTCAGCCACAGCACCGTGTCTTCCTTTGCAGATGACACCCGAATCTGCATGACAGTGTCTTCCATTGCAGACACTGCAAGGCTCCAGGCGGACATCAACCAAATCTTTCAGTGGGCTGCAGAAAACAATATGAAGTTCAACGATGAGAAATTTCAATTACTCAGATATGGTAAACATGAGGAAATTAAATCTTCATCAGAGTACAAAACAAATTCTGGCCACAAAATAGAGCGAAACACCAACGTCAAAGACCTGGGAGTGATTATGTCGGAGGATCTCACCTTCAAGGACCATAACATTGTATCAATCGCATCTGCTAGAAAAATGACAGGATGGATAATGAGAACCTTCAAAACTAGGGAGGCCAAGCCCATGATGACACTCTTCAGGTCACTTGTTCTATCTAGCTGGAATATTGCTGCACACTAACAGCACCTTTCAAGGCAGGTGAAATTGCCGACCTAGAAAATGTACAGAGAACTTTCACGGCGCGCATAACGGAGATAAAACACCTCAATTACTGGGAGCGCTTGAGGTTCCTAAACCTGTATTCCCTGGAACGCAGGAGGGAGAGATACATGATTATATACACCTGGAAAATCCTAGAGGGACTAGTACCGAACTTGCACACGAAAATCACTCACTACGAAAGCAAAAGACTTGGCAGACGATGCACCATCCCCCCAATGAAAAGCAGGGGTGTCACTAGCACGTTAAGAGACCATACAATAAGTGTCAGGGGCCCGAGACTGTTCAACTGCCTCCCAGCACACATAAGGGGGATTACCAACAGACCCCTGGAAGTCTTCAAGCTGGCACTGGACAAGCACCTAAAGTCAGTTCCTGATCAGCCGGGCTGTGGCTAGTACGTTGGTTTGCGTGCAGCCAGCAGCAACAGCCTGGTTGATCAGGCTCTGATCCACCAGGAGGCCTGGTCACAGACCGGGCCGCGGGGGGCGTTGACCCCCAGAACTCTCTCCAGGTATCTTCCACTTCAACAAATAAATTAAGAGCGCCGTGCTGCCGTTACCATGACCAAAGTTCTCGTACAACGTACAATACTGAATGGTCAGAGATGGTCCTAAGTCTGCGTGGTCATTAAATAGGTAGGTTGTTAAGTGAGTAATGTCCATATGTAAGTCTTATACATACCTATTATTATAAAGTTTAATTGATAACGTATATACAATAAGTGGAGAATTATCACTTTCACAGCTTTGAACAACTTCCATCATCACTACTATTACTTTGAACAACTTCCGTCATTGCTACTTTTAAGCAAAATTAGGGGTTATTTTTGGGCCACAGTAAACTGCAGATAACTGAAGCCGCGAATACCTGACCAGACCTGTAGATACAGAGGTCCTACTGTATATGGTAAACTTACCATAAGCATAATTAGATGCAGTACTTAAATACCTATTTGCAGGGTAAAGGGAGCCTCCAGCTCTTGGTTCTTCCTCATAACTATCAACTGTGATATATGAAATCCATAATTCTACTTTTACCAGCAAAGATGTAGCAATAACCTGGCAATAGGCTGGGTTGCTGTAAAAGAACTCTTGAAACCAGTCACAGGCATGTCAGTTGACTGGTGTTGGCTTTTGATCATTTTGCCACCACTGGTTAAGCTGTCAATGTGGATATTCCAATTTCTAAACATCAGAGAGGAGAGAACAAATTAAAAAGTAAAAACTGTTTGTTATTTATTTGAAAAATAATCCTACATACCATTCAAAATCACTCATTTCAGCCAGGCAGGTTACACAGTAACCTCAAATGGTCATTTTAACAAAAACGGAATGTTGACGTGTGTACAAATTAAAACTAAAGTTTCGATCCTTCCCTACGTGTGGAGATGGAGCTTACTTGCATTCCAATACTTACAAACATGACTTAGAAATAAATAAAGGTCAGATTCTAATTAGTGCTATACTAGCCCTAACACAGCAAACATTATTAGTTCAGCCTATATCAAGTCTCACACACTCACTCAACACGAGAAATGTACAAGCAAGATGACAGGTGGTTAGCAAATTCCTTAAACTACCATTCCAAAAATGGTCACAAATTACAATTTATAATTTTCCACTGAAAAAATTTACTATCACTGACAGCAAAAAATTTAACTACATAAATCATTTCCAGCCAATGACTTTTGGAAGCTACAGACTGGCACCAGTCTACATTTGTACATGGTGCATACATCAAATGCCCCCCCCCCCTTTAGAATACATTCTTACAAATAGATACTGTACTATAAAAAAACCAACAGGTACATAGGTAGGAAAAAATGTAGACGCTCATGGAAAGAATACAGCCACATACAGTAGCAAAGTTCTATACATAAAAGAAAAGAATCCATAGCAAGGGGGGGAAAATATAACTGGAGTGCTACTGTATACTGAAGACTAGGCAGTGGCCTCTGCAATGGGCTCTGTCGTTTCAGACTCCTGAATTTTAGCTTTCTTTGGAGGAGATACTTCTTTCGTTTCAGAATCCTCTGCTGGGCGCTTCTCTGCAAAGAGATTTTAAAGCTTTAACATTGGATAATGAAATATTGCCTTTAGCAGGGGAAAAGTGAAAATTCATAATTCAAAAACAAACTTGCATCCAAAGATAATCTCTCCAAGAACAATACACAGTACTAGTTTTTTCCATTATCAGCCACTCTACAAACCCATAAAAATTAAATATATCATACAGTATAACATACATTTCAGACTAATTATATTTTAAGCCCATATACCTCTCCAACACTAGCATTTATTTTTTTTATAACTACTGTATATCTAAAATTAAACAACCTTTCACTATATCCCTAGGCTAAGGTCCACATTCTATTGAGACATATTGTACTACACACCCTAAGCTTCCCTCCACTCAAAAAATTTGGCATTTACAACACCAGCCACATCACTTCTATCCACTACTGTATACCTTTACTAAATAATTGAAAGCAGCTCCTTACCCTCATCAAAATATTCCTCACTTATAAACACTTGATTTACACCTCCCCCTTCCTAAATTATTGATCTTTACTCAAACATTAACACTAATAGTTTTTGCTGGGCAGGCAACCTTAAGAATTTTTTTTTACCATAACACTATAAAAATGCAGACAGCATATTATGTACTACAGGTCCTCCATCACAAATCCGGCATCATTGGAACCTGTAGTGTGCCGGATTACTGAGTTTGCTGGATTACAGAGTGGTTAGGTTAGAATACACTTAATAAAATTAACCAACTTGACTTACACAAAGTTCATTGAACATCAGCAAAAATCAAACATTTCTGGTACTTTGAGCTCAATTTCAAGGTACTTTTCTTCATGAACGCAATCAAAATCATGTCTATTTCTGTAATATATCTTCCATTCTATCAAATGAGTACAAAAAAATGAGAATACAACCATAAAAACCATACGAAAATATACTGCAAAGAGGCGGCTAATGGCTGAGAAGTGAACTCCCTTATTTATTGTCTGTCTTTTTTATTTTTGTCGTATGTTAAGAAGCATCTTTCCATCATACATTGCCCAAGTTTCAATGAGATAGCCCAACAAACAACTGAGAGGAAAAAAAAAATATTTATCAAAAATCACACATGGCAAGCCCAAGGCAGGTACTGGAAATAAGTCACTGACTTTTCTGGGTTATCCTAGGTTCTCTATACATACACTGATATGTATGATAATCTATGTAACTGTATTTGTGTATACCTGAATAAACTTATTTACTTCTAGTCTGTCAACTGAGTACAAGAAACCCCCATTCACTTATTTCAACTACCCAATAAAGCGGTCAGAAATTGGCAATTTGGCCAATTTCACACAAATTTCAACAGATGCCAATTTCAAAATAGGGTCCAGAATAAACAATGCAGACATTCCTGGCACTAAAATAACATTTTCTCTGTTCATCAGTCATGGCTACAGACCCCTTTATATTACTCTTGCTTACCATTTAGAATTTTTATTTACAAAAAAGAAAAAATGGAAGTTTTACTGTTATGAAGACTGCTGCATTACTGTAATAATTGTATAAATAATGTCAGCCCATTCTTGACTCCGTATTGGAATTTGGACTGGCAGGCGGACAGGTATTCGACGGTGATGTCACTTGTTTACTCTTGAGCTTCGCTAAATAACAGAACATTTTCGCTATTGTGAGCGCAATTTCAAGGTACAGTGGTCCCTCGTTTTTCGTAATTAATCCGTTCCTGGAGGAGCTACTATAAACTAAATTTACGATTTGCGAATCAATTTTCCCCATAAGAAATAATGTAAATACAATTAATCCATTCCTGACACCCAGAAGTATTAAAACAAAAAAATTTTTTACATGAAATATACATATAGTACATAAACAATACAATGGGAAATGATGAATGAAACATTAACAGCATAACACTTATCTTTATTGGAGATTCTTCTTAGTGTATGGGAGACTGGAGGAGGAGAGAGATTGGATTGTTTACAGTTTGGAAGGGGAATCCCCTTCCAGCAACACCTCAGGTACCAATTGCTTCTCTGGAGTTGCTTCTCTTCTCTGTTTCTTAATGCCACTAGGACCACCTTGAGTCACTCTAGTCCTGTCTCGCAAAGTAACTGTGGAGAGAGCTCTGTTTCTGGCGTCTAACACTTCCCTAAAATGGCCCAAGACTTTGTCAGTGTACATATTTCTCACCTTCTTTACCACAGGCTTGGCACTAGGAGCTTTCTTTGGAGCCATGGTAGCTTATTTAGTACAGTGGACCCTCAACCAGCGATATTAATCCGTTCCTGAGAGCTCATCGTTAGTCAAAATAATCGTTAGTCAAGTTAATTTTCCCCATAAGAAATAATGGAAATGAAATTAATCCGTGCAAGACACCCCAAAGTATTGAAAAAAAAAATTTTACCACATGAAAGATTAATTTTAATACACACAAACTGAAGAAGACATGCACAGTTACATGACACTTACCTTTATTGAAGATCTGGTGATGATTGATGGGATGGGAGGAGGGGAGACTGTTGATCTTGTTAGTGTTTAGAAGGGGAATCCCCTTCCATTAGCACCTGAGGCAGCAAGTCTTTTTCTGGGGTTACTTCCCTTGTTCTTTTAATGCCACTAGGACCAGCTTCAGAGTCACTGGACTTCTGTCGCACAACATATCTGTCCATAGAGGCCTGTACCTCTCGTTCCTTTATCCTAAAGTGTTTCACAACATTGTCAGTGTAATAGTCACCAGCACGGCTTGCAATAGCTGTGTGAGGGTGATTTTCATCAAAAAAGGTTTGCACTTTAAGCCACATTGCACACATTTCCTTAATCTTTGAAGTAGGCAACTTCTTCAATTTCTCTCTCCCCTCCTCCGAAGCAGTTTCCTCAGGTGTGGCCTCTTACTGTTGAAGATGATCTAGCAGCTCATCAGTGGTTTGTTCTTCATTGTCCTCCTCCACCAACTCTTCCACATCCTCCCCACTAACCTCACCAATATGAGCACTAGTTCCAGGCATTTTTTCCTGTTCACCTGGGTGTTAGTCAACTGTTGTGGGTCGCATCCTGGGGGACAAGATTAAGGATCCCCAATGGAAATAAGTTAGACAGTCCTCGATGATGCACTGACTTTCTTGGGTTATCCTGGGTGGCTAACCCTCCGGGGTTAATCGTTTCTCGGTAATTGTTTCACGTTAAGCCACACCAACAACACTCTCTCCACATCTTCGAATAATACAGCTGATGGTGGTGCAGCAACAACAACAGCTGACTGTGGTGCAGCAGCAGCTGCACCTTTGGCAAGAACAGCTTCCTTGATTGCCGTTTTCTTACCCACAATAGTAGCGATGGTTGATTGGGGTTTATTATACAACCTGACCAGCTCAGAGACACGCACTCCACTTTCATACTTAGCAATGATCTCTTTCTTCATCTCCATAGTAATTCTCACCCTTTTTGCTGTAGGGTTGGCACTAGAAGCTTTCTTGGGGCCCATGGTGACTTATTTTGCAGGTGCAATCACTACAAAGGCTGTGATAATATGAAATGTTCCAGTTGTTGTATGTTTGGAAGCGACCGCAGTGGCTGGCTGGCTTGTAAACACTGACACCCAAGGGACAAGTGAGGCGCGCTCAGGCCAAAGTGGACGCGTATGGTATGGAACGAAAAGCTCTGGTCGGGTTTTTAAGAGCTAGTCGAGGCAAAATTTTTGCGTTTAAATGAATCGCTAATCAGATTTATCGTTAATTGATGCAATCGCTAGTTGAGGGTCCACTGTACTTGCAAGCACTAAAATGAGTGGAATATTATGAAATATTTCGTAGGAGCACTTGAGGGGACCTTCACTCACTGGTAAACAATGCCAGACTGGCCGGGTAGGGAGGCCGCCTTGGCTCACACCGTGCGTACGCATCCCGGATGAACTACTATTCGTGAGTCAACCTATGAAAAGCGAGTCCATGTTTATACGAAAATACCCCTATGATTGGCGAAATTTACGATTGCCGAGAACTACGAAAAGCGAGGGTCCACTGTACTTTTTGTCATAAAAGCAATCAAAATAATATCTATTTCTGTAATATATCTCTCATTCTATCAAATGAGACCGAAAAAATGAGAATATAACCATACAGAACATTACAAAAATATACCGCTAAGCGGCCGCTGATGGCTGAGAAGTGAACTCCGCTATTTATGATCTGATTTTTCATTTTTCGTGTACCTTTCCATCATACATTGACAAAGTTTGAACAAGATAACCCAACAAACAACTGAGAAAATAATAATAATAATAATAATAATAATAATAATAACAATAACAGGTTTAAAAATGTAGTGTTAGAGTGTTCAGCAGAAGTTTGTGGTTACAGGAAAGTGGGTGCGGGAGGGAAGAGGAGCGATTGGTGGAATGATGATGTAAAGAGAGTAGTAAGGGAGAAACAGTTAGCATATGAGAAGTTTTTACAAAGTAGAAGTGATGCAAGGAGGGAAGAATATATGGAGAAAAAGAGAGGTGTTAAGAGAGGGGTGAAGCAATGTAAAAAGAGAGCAAATGAGTGGGTGACATGTTATCAACAAATTTTGATGAAAATAAGAAAAAGTTTTGGAGTGAGATTAACAAGTTAAGGAAGCCTAGAGAACAAATGGATTTGTCAGTTAAAAGTAGGAGAGGAGAGTTATTAAATGGAGAGTTAGAGGTATTGGGAAGATGGAGGGAATATTTTGAGGAATTCTTGAATGTTGATGAAGATGGGGAAGCTGTGATTTCGTGTATAGGGCAAGGAGGAATAACATCTTGTAGGAGTGAGGAAGAGCCAGTTTCGAGTGTGGGGGAAGTTCGTGAGGCAGTAGGTAAAATGAAAGGGAGTAAGGCAGCTGGGATAGATAGAAATGTTAAAAGCAGGTGGGGATATAGTTTTGGAGTGGTTGGTGCTATTATTTAATAAATGTATGGAAGAGGGTAAGGTACCTAGGGATTGGCAGAGCATGCATAGTTCCTTTGTATAAAGGCAAAGGGGACAAAAGAGAGTGC